ATCTGCCTCCTGGTGATCAGTGCACATCATAGCAACTGGTTGAACGTTCGGACACTTAGCATATTAGGCTTTTATTATATAGGATGGTTGGTACACTGGAGGGAGTGCAGATAAACCCTGGGTAATGTACATACAAAAATTTGCTATATACTTACCATCTTCAAAGTCCAATATTAGAAACTAGGAAACCAATGGTGAGCAAGTATCCCTAGAGTACTTCTTGAACTAATAGAACCACTTCAGAACTGAAGAGTAAATAAAAAGGTGATCATGTTGAATAAGACATATACACAAAGATCAGTTGCAGAAAGTGAATGAAAAGACAGCCAAGCAGAGCTGAAATTGCAAATGCAGGCAAGATAGGTTGGGTTGCTGCTGCCCAAGTTGCTCTAAAGCAGTGGTTCTCAACCTTCCTTATGCTGCAATCCTTTAATACAGTCCCTCATGTTGTGGTGACCCCAACCATAAAATCATTTTCGTTGCTACTTCTTAACTGTAATTTTGCTAGTTATGAATTATAATGTAAATATCTGATGTGCAGGATGTATTTTCATTGTTACAAATTGAACATAATTAAAGCATAGTGATTAGTCACAAAAACAATGTAATTATGTTTTCCAATGGTCTTAGGCAACCCCTGTGAAAGGGTCGTTTGTCCCCCAAAGGGGTCGCGACCCACAGGTTGAGAACCACTGCTCTAAAGGTTCTAGGTCTACTCACCAAGGCAACTGAACAGCAAAGAAATCCAGCCTGTATTGTTTTGGAACACTTATGTATTGACTAGCCTGATCCAAGCTGAAAATCACATCAGATCTCAACAGACACTTCTCATAGCCCATATCCAGGGATCCAGGTAGATGTTAGGGATATCCAGGACAGGGTGACAAATTATGACTTCTTAGTTTTACCCTAAATCACTTCAGGACTCAGCCAAAGACAAAATAAATCAGCACACGAAAACACTTTTTATTTCAGAGAGGAGAGGGCAATAGAAATATCAATGAGAATCATTGATTGGTTGCCTCTTCCTGCATGCCCCCTATTGGGATCAAGTCTGCAACCCAGGCATGTGCCCTTAATCAGAATCGAACCTGGGACCCTTCAGTGAGCAGGCCTCTATCCACTAAGCCAAACTGAATAGGGCAGCATGCATTTTTTAAAAATTAGATTCTTAAACTGACTTTAAGTGTGGCAAATTTTCTTCAAATTCTACATGAAAACCTTCAAAATGTTTATTATGCAGTCTAAATCTGCATAATAGGGCACCTCTTAGCCAGGAATGATTTTCCCTTTAGAACAAAAGAAACAGGCCTCCTCCAACTACTTCTGAAATTAAAGGCTAACATCAACTTAAAGATTGATCTTAATCTCTAACTCAAGATTTTGTTAGAATGCACACCTTATTAAAAACTCATTATGCATGTTCTAAGTATTCTGCAAGTACTATTATGTCCTCAGTGCCAACAAATCTTTCACAACTTATTAAAACAGAGCCTGGCCCTAGCTGGTTTGGCTCAGTGGATAGAGCTTTGGCCTGGGGACTGAATGGTCCCAGGTTCGATTATGGTCAAGGGCACACGCCCAGGTTGCAGGCTCGATCCCCAGTAGGGGGCGTGCAGGAGGCAGCCAACGATTCTCTTATCATTGATGTTTTTATCTCTCTCCCTCTCCTTTCCTCTCTGAAATCAATAAAAATATATTTTTAAAAAACCAGCCTGAATAAACAGAAATGGACTCTAAAGGCGGTTTAACCATTCTACTTTGCAATGTAAGAACTATTTTATTGCAATGTCCATTATATATGTCAATCATTTGTTTAGGGCCTGCAGGGTTAGTCTTAAAATTAGATGTTATTTTTTTCCTCATGAAGGTAGATATAAATATGGACTTGGGCAAGGTTAGGAATCCCATTGTGTTCCACTAACTTTGAAGTATCCAGTGTGTTAGTTTCTGATGTTTTCTAAGTCTATTGAAACAAGGACATCCCAGAAATAAGCACACCCAGCACCCAGACTTGGATTCTAAATACCATTCCCTTTAAAAGGTTCCAGAAATCCTTAGCGATATACCCAATTTCAGGGCTGGGACAGAAAAAGTCTAAGAGAAGCCCCCAGTCATTTTTGAACTGAAGTATATTAAGTGTTCAATTGATGCAAAACATACCAAACGTGCAGAGGAACCGGCCTGGAAATACTACTGGTCAAATCTGGAATGATTTAAGCATCAAAATGAACTGTGATTGCATAGTAAGTTCTCCTGATTTTTAATTGTTCTGTGATTCTCTAAGAATGTCTCCAGTAATGAGTAACCGCTGCATTTAGAGGGTGAAAGAGCATGTCTGCAACTTTGTCAAAGTTTAAAAAAAATGCATACACAATATAAATTTATGTAGCAAAATCAATAAATGGTGATGAGTAAGGAACATATAGAAATTCTTTCAACTGTTAGAAAAAAAGAAACATTGATAAGCACCCCCTTCTGCCAAAATCCTGGTATTTTACTTCATTGCAGATAAAAGGAAATTTGCTCTGCTTTTGACAGAGCAGCCTCTAATTAGCCTTGAGGCCGCTGGCATAAATGTCCTTATCTTAGTTTAAAAATTCTTGGAAGATTTCACTTTTGAAATACTAAGGTAGTTTCCAGTGTTTTAAACACTTTAAAAAGTAACAATTTTCACCCTAGCCAGTTCAATTTGTATAACCCCAGAGGGGCCTCATGTGGGAGGCAACCAATAGATGTTTCTAGCTCTGTCTTCCTCTCCTCCCTTCTACAATCTCTAAAAATCAATGGAAAAACATCCTCAGGTGAGGATTAACCAAAAAACCCCACAAAAGTAACTATTTTACCACTCTATGAAAAACTGAGCTACAACTGCCTAATTTCATTATGAAAAATTATGAATATGACTATCATTAACTCTTGCTGCCAACTTCTGGTCCTTTTATTTTTCATCACTTGTCCCCAGTTCTTGCTTTTAAGTTTAAAATACATGAAGATCTAAAAGCACTGCTTTGATTTTTAAGCAACATTTTACCCCAAGTTTCAAAATTAAACAACTGCATTAAGGACTTATTTCCTGCTGACAATTTATTATTTCTAAATTGTTAGGCTCTGTTTCTCATTTTATACTTAAACACAAGATACAAAGAATGCTGTATTCTTTGAAAATGTAATCAACTAAATACAATAAAAATTTCTCATGGATAAACTCTTATTCTTCAATAATTTCACACTCCAATAAAGATGTTTCCATTTCTCTGAAGTTCTTAATCGGTCCAAGAACTTGGTTAAATTTTATCCAATTTACTGTTTAATAACTGGATTTTTAAACCAGCATACAAAAAAATCATCACTACACAGCTAAAAATTAATCTGTTAATTTCACCACTTAATTTTCAGCTATTAGAGTGTTTTAAGTAGCAAATTACCAAAATTATGAATATTTTCAAAACAAAACGGTTTACAATTAGCAATATACAGTGAAGATTAAAAAAAAAAAAAACGCCTATACTAAATTCTCATGCTTTTTCTTTTCAAAGGCTCCTATAAAGAATGTATGCTTCCTCTAAGTCAATCGTTTATTCTGTACATTTAAAATAACATCTGGTTTAAACAGTTAAAAATATAAATGCTACAATTTTTATAAGGTCATCCCATAAAAATAGACTCAAATGCTAAACCATGCCCTGAAATCAGATATTTAAATAATATTTTAATATTAGCTTAATATTTCTGCATGGCCTAATGCTTTCACAATTCAAAAGTTTTACATTTTTAATAATGGGAACTGTCTACAACTCGGATAAACCCACAAATTCAGTCTGAAAAGCAGTAGTAACATAGTTAATTCAATTATCTTAGAGGACATATATACCAAATCAATCTCACTAACCTATTAAAAAATAATGAAAGTATTTCTATCAAAGCTAATGTCTCCTTTTCAGGTGTATTTATTAAATGAGCTAAAAAAGGAAATAGAAGCCCGTTTTCCTTAAGTACTACTCTAAGCCAATTCCATACAATTAAGATATTTTTGTCACCATACTGCTTCAATGAATTAGATAAAAGAATTCTGAGAAATTCCATACATTTAACTTTCAGACATCCATGTTAAACTAAAAACTACTAGTAATTGGTTTATGGAATTGTTGTTCTCTGCTTACCAATTTGAATGACTGTAAAATGTCAAATGTTTTCAAAGTATTACTTTTCAGGTGATCAGATTGGATTTTACCATTTACCATATTGGGGGGGGGGGGCCTGTGGTGGGGAGAATGAGAACTTGGCAGCCAATGCCTGGGCTAGAGAAAACTAGTAACTAAAAGCTTGAAGTCATCTCAAAAATGTCTACAGTTAAGTCAGTAAATCTGTAGAACTGTGCAAGTTCCTTTTAGTCTTCCAATAGAAACTCCACTTAGCAGGGCTTGGGAGGTTGCTCATAATTTAAAAGTAATCAAATTTACAGACCATCATGGTCTAAGCACAGAATAGCCAACTCTAAACATCTCTACTCTGTTCTTATAAAAAGGTAGTATTTTTATTTAAAAACCACCCAAAACATCACCAGTACATTTTATAAAATTAAATGCAAATTTTATTAAGGTCTTCCAATTACATATCTCAAATTTCTTGAATGGAATAGAATATTTTGGAACTGGAAAGATGGCAGAGATGAACACTGATATCCCTTGAAACCCCAACTTTATTAATAGAGAGCAATTCCTCTGCAAATCACATTGCCCTTATATAACAAGATGAAATAGTATCTTCTCCCTCACTTTGGCAATAGCTATTTCCTAATGAAAAAAAAGAATATAGTGGTTTTGCTACTTAAAGTTCATATAAAAATGAGAACCTATCTTTAGGTTAACATTTTTAAAGTTCAGATGTGTTCAAATGAGCTATGGGTACAAAAATACATTAGCACAGAAGTCTAATCAAAGCAACCAAAATCATTTTGAAAATGAAGAGGAAAAACATTAGGTGTTTTCATGGCACCCCCCCCCCCCCCCCACATAAACTATTGCAATTGGTTGAGGATTTCCAGCAGTTAATTCAAATCTCAGGAGTGAAAAAGATAGTACTATACAAATAACAAAATGTATTCATTCACATTCTAAGACCATAATACTAAATTTTCAAAATGGAAGCTCTATCATTTCTAAAAATGAACCTAATGTTATTTTATTACAAGCAGAAACTCCAAGCTGTTTTCCAATTACAATCCAATTAGTCCACCCTCACTGCCAAAACTTTCTTTTAAGTTCACCAGAAAAAATCAACAGTAATTAGCCTGAGGTATTTTAAATGTGGCTCTACAGTATCAAATTTAATGGGATTCCCCCAACCCCCTTAAAAACGGTCTTACTTCTACTTTAGAACCATGATCTCTATGGTCATAACAAAAATACCTAAAAACGATCCTTGGACCTTTGAAAATAGTTGGTTATCCATCCACTTTTATTAAATAAGGAGCCACTAAAAGAGCACTGCCTGACCAGATCCAGAGTAAAGTACTTGACTTTTGTTTTCTGGTTTATTTAGCAAACTGTGGTAGACTAAAAGGCTGAATATCATACTTGTGGTGCAAAAAGTTCCAAATTTTTAAGCTTTCAATAGGTTGAGAATTATTTCATATATAATTTAAGTTAATATGTCTAACACATGTGAGGTAGTTAAGTAAACAGTACTACCCATTTTAATACATAGTAAACAGAAGCATGGGTAAACAACATACTCATACTTTAAACAGTAAGAATTGGAATTCATCAGAGGCTTGAGGCCTTCTCTCATTCTAACCAAAGGAAATAAAACTTAACTTACTCTTTAAAAAAAATTACACCATTTGTCTTTTTTTTATACTTTCTTATTAAATGTAGTACACCTTGTCCAGAGTTGGCACCCTTTTCTTCAATATAATAGTAAACTGGGCACAATACTTAATTCAAGCTAAGGCTTCACTTCTGCCTGAATTAGTACAAAATTGTAAGACATTATCTTGTGAGAACTAAAATTATTATATTTGACATTTTTATTTTAGGCTACAAACAAGCAAACAAAGAAACAACAAAAAACTTGAAATGAACTTGTCAAATGATGAAAATTCATCCTTTCCAGGGAAGCAGAAGGTAGACCCTACCACAAAGAAGAGATGTTCAGTTAATGGAGGTTAAATTTAAAAGTACAGTTAAAATAATAAAGCTTAATGTCTGAAAATACTAGATTTCATTTGTCTCCCAATGGTAACTAACCAATAACCATACAATTGAGTTAGGGTTCTTTATAGTTAACTATGTCACCTAAAATATTAAAAATCCATTAAACAATCAAAGTTAATAGATGTGATCTTACTGGAAATTCTTAACCATAGATTGTCTTGACCAGTTTGTTTTTAAAATGAATTGTTTCAGTATAGGCACTGCATCTCTTTAACAAAGTAATGAAAGACAAAACTTAAATCCACTTAACTACCAGCTGAAAAAATACTTTGGTTCTTCAGGAAAAAAATTAGGATAACAAAAAAATCTGTTTCATTTAACAGTTTGTTTATTTTCATAGCTGTATCTAACATTACATGATAAAAATACCCCAGAAGAACCAAACTATGTAGCAATGAATGAAAATGTGTGAGAGAATTTCTGCATTCAAGATATCTGGCAGAAAAACTAAATTTAAAATGCTAGGTAGAACAAAATTGTCTTTAAAATATCAATTCCTTCCCTTTAAAAAAATTATTGAGTCTACCAAGAAAATACAAAAACATAAGTCTGTAAATAATAGTTGTATTTAGGCTATTACAGTGCAGGTTATCCTCAAGGCCATACATCCTGCTTCACTGCTGCTTGCACTCTGCTGGGTTTTGATCCTTCTGTTAAAGGAAAACAACAAGTCAATCTATTTTTTTCTACCAGCTTCAGTTAATATTTCATTAGTAATTAATGACCTTATCACATTATCTCACCGCTGTCAAAAATTTGGCAAATCAAAAAAGGGGTATTAGCAACGATAGCAAATTATTATTCAAACATTAGCAGATCATGAAAATGCTAAAATAAAATCCAAGTTTTATACTACTGAATGAACTCCATAAAATGAGAGCCATAATCTTGAAAAATTAAATAACCAAGCAATTTGTTAGTTGTAATAGCCATTATTTTTGCCGTTTTATAGATTAGTTACTCAAAAATACTAATCCCATTTATAATTTAGCTGTTAAGAGTAAGTCCTATGTGTTGGAATATTTAATTTGATTTTTAACTATCTCCTTACCTGCCCAGTACGTTAAAGTATCTTCTGGATATTTTGTAGCATTTAGCAAATGAGTAAATTAAAGAGAAACCAGTTTCAAATGAATCCTGATAAAATGTACCATGTATTTTTTAAGAAAATAAAGGCCTTTACTAACCCTACTATGACAAATTTCTGGGACTCAGATGGAGAAGGGAGGTGGTTGGTAGAATCTAACAAGCAGTACTGCTCCCCTAATTCTCAAGCACTCCTACATTCAAATGGTTTAAAAGTTGACCTTTGTTTATAAGCTTTCCTTTGGAGGGGAAACAGCCTAAAACAGCTGTGGGCAAACTACGGTGCCCGGTTAAAACGAATAAAACTAAAAAAAAAAAAAAAAAAAGACCGTACCCTTTTATGTAACGATGTTTACTTTGAATTTATATTAGTTCACACAAACACTCCATCCATGCTTTTGTTCCGGCCCTCCGGTCCAGTTTAAGAACCCATTGTGGCCCTCTCAAAAAGTTTGCCCACCCCTGGCCTAAAACCACAAGCTGTGATTTAAAATGTTTCTAAAAAAAAAAAAAAAAAAAGTACATGATAGCATGCCATTAAAATAGAACCCTAGCCCAGCCAGTGTGGCTCACTGGTAGAGCATTGACCTCTATACCAGGAAGTCACAGTTGGATTTCAGGTCAGGGCACATGCCTAGGTTGGGAGCTCAATCCCCAGTAGGTGGTGCTGGAAGCAGCCGATCAATGACTCTCTCATCATTGATGTTTCTCTCTTTCTCCCTCTCCCTTCCTTTCTGAAATCAATACAAGTGAAAATAAAAAGAATTCTAGGGCTTACTTAGCCTGGAATTTAAAAATATAAGGTCAGAACCTAAAATAAGTTTCTTAGGAGAGATGCATTGAAATTATGTGTATTGTTGAAATGCCAGTGAGGATTTTATATATATGTATATGTATATGTATATGTATATGTATATGTATATGTATGTATATATATATATATATATATATATATATATATATATATATATTTAATGGCCTAGACTTTAATGGATAAAATTAAACTTTATATTGAGATATTAACTTTTATTTAACCTGCCTTAAATTTAATAGAAAACAGCACTAATTATACTCACCTTTGAGTCATAGTCTGGATCATTTTCCTCATCTTCTTCTTCCCCTTCCTATATTAAAGTTCAAAATGCATCCATGAAGTAGGTACATAGTAGGCAAGAAATGGCTCATAATGTAGGAAGAATTTAAAACAAGTTACTCTATAGGTCAATAGAATTTCATGATTACAGAGTTTGGTGACAATGCAATTTAATATGAAAGCTTCTATTATGAAAAATTTCCCAACACAACTTGAGACATCCAGACAGCTTTTATTGAAAAGATTTACTGCAGCCAACGTGGGAAAAGTTTACTGCAGCTTTTGACTTCTTCAAAGAGCTGATAACCCTGCAGCAGAACAGAATTATTTGAAATAAAAAAAATGTTCTGAGTTTTACAATTTATTTATTGAAACCTTATACATACATTGTTTGGCTGTAGATTCTAAAATCATAATTTTTCCAAAAATGTTTTTTATGCATTATCACAGAATAATGATTATAGCAAAGGAATACATAAGTCATTCAATATGCTTCTCAATGTTTTGTTTTAAACAGTATTATTTGCTCATTTGGTAAACATTACCTCATCCGCTTCTTCACCTTCTTCATCATACTAAAAAAAGGAAAAAAGGGTCAAGTTTGATGAATAAACTTTTGAGAACAGCATTATTTACATCCATCATTGTATCCACTAGTATCTAAAAAAAGGAAAAATATTTTCCCTAAAGTGAATGATTAAATGTGATGTAACAGCTATTATTGTAAATATTACTTTCTTATACTTAGGTGTGGAATACAAGGCACAAAATGTCTATCTGAATTATTGCCATTTAGCAATAAAAGACACCCAAACCTTTGAGGGCAACCTAATTTTACCGAAATCTTTAATTAATATTCCTTGGAATAAAAATTCTATGCTTCCTACTATTGTTATCTTAAGCACTAAAATAAGTTCTTGGCATGTTTTATTTAGTCAAAGACAAGAGCATAATAGATCTACACTACTAACCAAACATTGTGAAGTTTCACTAATTCAGAGCAGTCTTCCTATTAGCAAAAAAATAAAAACTATAATAAATGAACCCAAAGAGAATCTATTTAAAACAACTCAGAAAATTTATCTACAGGACATCAGGAATTATCCTAATAGCATTATTCTGCTGTGCTTTCTAAAAATTACATCTATTCATTAAACCTCTCACCAATTCTGACTATCATACACTCACTAAATGATTTTACTGCAGGATTCAGATCCACTCACATCATCATCATCATCTTCAATGGCTTCTCCAGTAAAGTACAACACTGATCTTGGGATTATACGCTCACGTAAAAAGTGACCAATTTCAAAGTCTGCAGCAAGGATAGCTTCAGCGTCATCATCCTATTTAAGGAAAACAAAAGCACAAAATTTAAGTTTGTTACTTAATTCAGCATATGCAACACTCTTGGGTTTAAATCATGAGGTAACTCTCAATTTCACTTTTAACTTTCTGTCATTTGAAAACTTACTTAAATGTGGTATGACCCACCAGTCATTTACAGTTTTTTAAAAAAAGAAAGTTAGCAGAACTGTGTATATACTCAGAAATCTGGGGGAGTAAAAATTAGTGAACTAGTTATTGTTTATTTTTTATGGCTTAAAGGTAAAATATAAATAAAGCAACTTAATTACATGACTGCCGTTTTCCTTTTAAAATATTAGTTACTGAAAACACCAAGTGGAATAATAGAATCTCTCAGGCTATCACAAATACATTCTAGTTTCAATAAGGAAGAAAACTACAGTCTTGAAAACTTTGAATCCCTCAAAGTATTTGCCAAGTTCCAAAAGAAAAGAAACTCTTGAGCATGTCAGCAGTTTTCAGTGAAAGCACTATGAGCATTTGAATGGGACTGTTCAGATGCATCGAGGGCTCCCCGTGCACTGCAAACCTAGTGGCAATACCCCAACTCCCCACTTTTGAGAACTAGTCCTTTAATTTCATACGCAGTAAACAATTCAACAATTAAATAACAATTCAGCTTACCAGATCTCCACTCTCAGGAACTGCAAAATTGAGAAGAGAAATTCAAATGAATAAAAAAATTTAAACAAAGCTTATAATAAAACCACCACCAATATGCAAACTAAAACACTATTTACCTTCAGGAGGGGCAAAAAAATTAAAGAACGAGTCATTAGAAACTGTTTTGGTCACAGTACGAACTGTCCCACGTCCCTTGTGTTTCTGTTTCTTTTTAATGGTTTTCAAAGTGACATTCTTCCCTTTTTTCCAATCTATCTGGCACCTTCCAAACAAAGAGAAAAAGAAAAATCTCCTATCACAATTAACATATTACTTTCAACTGCTAAGACTTTCCCAAATAAGTAGTATATTTAATTTCAAATTTTAGAGGGCAAAATTGGTCCAAGTGCTTTCTATAGCAGTGTAAAGAGAAAAATTTTATTTCTAACCGAATTTTTTCAATAAACATATTTACAATCACCATAAACTCACAATATAATAAATTTAAATGTGCACTTCCTTTGGAGAAATGTCTATAATATTAGCCATTTTCCAAGAAGAATTCTAGGAAAATGGCTAATTTCTCAGATAACATTTTACTCAAATATTTGGAGATAAACTATTTATGTATGTATCTAACACACAGACATGGAAATACCAATATCACAAATCATAAGTACAACAAATACAGACTTAACATTCTGTTAATATAATAAAATTAAACTCACCCTGTACAACCCATAATTTCTGGTCCATCAAAAGAAAAGGGATCAGAATCATCTGGTTCTGACCTCATTCTGTATGTTTTTGTCAACACTTCATTTGTGAAATATTCATTGGGTTCAAAGTGAAATTCTAAAACAAAACTCTTTAAAAAAAAAAAAGTTAAAAAATGAATTAAATTCCTACATAATCAATTTCAATTCTTTAATAAGTAAAGCTTTATCTTTAGTTTTTATAAACATAAAATTCTAAGTGACAGTGTTTTTCCCACTCTGGGAAACAGTCAAATAAATCTCCTTTATGTTAAAAGCAAAATGACGCACAAATCTTAGTTCAGCATACAATACTATTTAGTAACATGTCTATGAAATAGGTTGAGCACATCTGAATAAACTGACCAAGTCCTCATTTCTCTCTCCATCCCACAAAGAGAAATTTTAAATCTTTGACTAGAACGTAAGCTGGACAGAGAAAAGGCCCAACCTTATTACATGCCAATATAAGAATCTATAACCTTTAGTAGCTTTGCCCATACTTTACATTATACTACTGATGGTTTTGGGGAAAAGCTGTTGGTTGAGCTCTCATAACGGGAAATTAGGGGCCCCCCTCTAGTATCTTCTATTTTATGTAAGTCCCAGACACATGCCTTTTAATACAAAATAAGTACTTTTTTATTCATGTTTCCTTGGTATTATTTTTTTAATACATTTTAAATCCAGGAACAATGATAAACTGTATTTTGAAAATAGTTAAGAGGGAGGAAATGTTGCATTACATTATCAACATCTAAACATTTATTTCCTACCAATAATTAAGTATACCAAGTATCACTTTTAATATCTCATCCCCATCTCTAACCCTTAAATGTCACACCTCTTTTTAGAAAGTTCCACTTATTTATCTGTAAACACCTGTTACAAAAATTGAAAGTATTTCCAAGTTTTTACCATAGGCTGGCCAGCATCTGAGAACTTCACTTTAATATCTTTCAAGTGCTTCAGAATAGGTTCATCATGTTCCTTCAAATTAAAAGAAAAAAAAAATGAGTAAGTAATGTGGCATTTTAGGACGAGTGTTCTCCTACTGGACAATGAACACTGAAATGACTGACATTTTCAAGTTAAGTTTTATGTAGCAATGACTACTTCATTATCCAGACTGAATGGGCTGAAGAGCACAAAACCAAGTCTAAAATAGGCATGTTTGCTTTCAAATGTTTCCTGATTGATTGTAACTGCTGCTCTTAGCTACTCTTGTTCCTTTCCTTCTTTCTGCTTGATGTTTTCCTACTTGGTTAAAGTAGAATTTCTATTAAGGAGTCATTGTTTTGGGATCATTTGTTTTTCTTGATACTAACTTACAACAATCAAAATATCAGGAAACAAGTACTACAGTGCAGATGGCAGTGGCTCAAGAAATGCTTCTGATTATAAGACAATGTTTCCCAGAAAAAGTGACAACTGTAAGAGTTAAAGATAGCCCAGCTGGTGTGGCTCAGTGGTTCAGCATCAACCTATGAACCAAGAGGTCAAAGTTCAATTCCCAGTCAGGATTGCAGGCTCTATCGTAGTGTGTGGCATGCAGGAAGCAGCCGATCAATGATTCTGTGTCATCACTGATGTTTCTATCTGTTTCCCCCTCTCCCTTCCTCTCTAAAATCAATAAAAATAATATTTTTACAGCATTCTTATAAATACAAATGTACTTTGGAATAGCTGTTTCAGACTGAAAAGGTCTTTTGGGTAAGACAATTGAAATGGTTGTCTCTCACATCCTACCTCCACACTAAGCATCTGAGACAGAAGGCACAAAGCTATTGTCTGAGAAAGCACCAGACAATAATGACCAATTATTAAAGGGACTATTTCATTATCTATTTTTTAAAAATGAATCATAATTTATTTGGTTACATTAAAAAAAAAGTTGCAATTTCCCCTCTACAGACAACAGCTGTTTCAAAAGAAAGCAACCATTCTACAAATGTCAACTATGGAGAGACTAGTCGTCAAACATTTAAATTTCAAAGGTTTACACTCTCTGAGGTAACTTGATATTTTTATGAGTAATATTACCTGAACCATATCACTGAGCAAGTCAACATTCTTAAAAACAGTCAACCAAAATTCAGGAATTCCCTTGGGGTCTTGTTTTTCTTCATCCTTTTTCTCATCTTCAATTTTGACCTTTTCTTTCAGCTCCTCCTTGATAAATAACAGCATACATTACTGAAAACCTAAATTAAACCTCTTGATAAAATCTTATACATCCCCTTAAATTAAATGTAAATATAGAAACCAACAAACCCTCAATCACTAATTATAACTTTCAGCCCAAACAGTTCTAGTCCAATTGTGTAAATACTGCTGTTACCCATACCAAACCTTACTTTTATAAATATTGCTACAACCATACTGCTCCCGAAGAGAACAGTTTAGTAGGTCACAGTTTACAGGGCCATACGGTGTAGAAAAAAGTTTTAGGAAAATAATTTTTTAAAGTCATGAAAAATAATTACTTTTAAGCATAGTAAACAGGAAAAGCAAAAGAAATATAAACCTAGTCCAATGCTTTATTCTTGATGTTTTCTTATAGAAATACTAGTGACCCAGCGTGGGAAATCGCGCAACACCCGGGGCCCCAGACCCCGCCGAGTCCCGCAGCGCTGCGAGACTCAGAGTCATATCTCTGCCCAACCGCGGGCACCTCGCTGTGCAGGCAGCCCCACCCACCCCGCACATGCCTCGGCATGCACGCAGCCTCCTAGTGACCAGTCTTTGGTCGTATGGCATTAGGGCCACTGGGTTTTTATAATATAGATTATATTCTCTTAAGCAACCAACATTAAAATAGCAATTCTGGAGAAACAGGGTCATTTAACAGAGCACTGGATTTGTGTCTCAGCTCTGCCATTAGTTGTGGGCAAGTCACCTAGAAGCCTCCATTTTCTCACTTGAAAAAAAGGGAACAATCATTTGTATGTCATCATGAAGTTCGAAGGAAATGCTTTCATTCCCAAAGTATAAAACACCCCAAATTAAAGTTGGTACCAACCGAAATGTCATCTTCCTCATCTGGTTTCCATTCACATTCTTCTTCCGTAGGTTCATAAATTGCATTAATGATCTCAAATCGCTAAAATGATTGAAGAAAAAAAGCTTACATGATATCCAAGCTAAAAACTATCTGTTTCTCATTAGGAACCCATAGGTTTTAATTAATGCACACCATAATTTGAATTGCTATTATTGATAGTTTTCCCAAATACATCAAGTAACCATTTTTGCTGAGAGGTCTAAAGAAAGCTTATTGCTGGCCCTGGCCAATGTCTCAGTGGGTTGGGCATTGTCCTGATTCCCCGTCAGGGCACATGCCCAAGTTGTGGGCTCGATCCCAAGAGGGTGTGAAGAAGGCACCCAATTGATGTTTTGCTCTTACATTGATGTTTCTCTTTCTCTCTCTCTTCCTTCCTCTCTAAAAATCAGTAAGAAATCTTTAAAAAAGTTTTGCTTCTGGAGCTTTACTACCTTCTCAAATTTTACATATCTAAAACAAAAGTAATAGAAAGCATTACCTTATCAAATAAAGGTTGATAGAGAACAGCATACTTTCTTTCAAGATCATGAACTTCCTCATAGAATTTGGCTTCTATCTGTGCACATTTAACTTGAAGGTTTTTGAGAGCATTCACTCGTCTTTTAACTACCTTAGGCAAGCTGAAAGATTAGAAAGCATCAATTACATAGCATGCCAGTAAGACACAAGTTACACTTCTTTTATCATTCTGAAATTGAAGCATAATAGGTTTCCTACTTGAAGTGAAGATATACTAACTCAAAATAATTAATCTTTAAGAGGTATAAATGCATGGGCCTCTGTACTATAAAAGTTCAAAAGTAGATATTTAGCCGGATACATTAAACTGACAGGAAAATGTAAATTATATTATCAACCCAAACCTTTCATTGTACTCAAGTTCAACTTTGTTCTTATGCACTGGCATCTTAGCTGTAAAATACAGCCTTATCTTCTAAAGTTAAAAAGTCATAGCCCTAGTCAGTTTGGCTCAGTGGATAGAGCATCAGCCTACAGACTGAAGAGTCCTAGGTTTGATTCTGGTCAAGGGTATGTACCTCAATTGCAGGCTCCTCCCTGGTCCAGGCCCTGGTTGGGGCTCATGCAGGAGGCAACCAATCGATGTGTTTATGTCACATTGATTTTTTTCTCTCTGTCTTTCCCGCCCCCCTCTAAAATAATCAATGGAAAAATATCCTCAGGTGAGGATTATATATATATATAAAAAAAGCCACCTACACTAATAAAAGAGAAATATGTAAATTGGTCATCACTCCGCTACACCCACCAGGCAATCAGGATGATTGCAAATTACTGATTGCAAATTAATGCAAATTAACCCAACAAAGATGGTGGCTGGAGCGGAGAAGCCTAGCCTTGGGGCTTGGCTTCTCCGCTGCGGCCGGACCAAAGGCCTGGGTCTTGCGTGGCAGAGGAAAACCAGTGCCAGCAGCCAGGGGAAGGAAGGTCTATTGCGCGAACCTTCGTGCAACGGGCCTCTAGTGGAATGATAATACTAAATGATAATTGAACTTTCTTCAAACAACAGACAAAATAATTTCTCACCTGTATAAGTTAGTACTAGGGGAAAGGAAGGGAGCATATGTATACTGGGAAATAGGACAGTACCCTACACCATTATTTTCTATTGTAGTCTCTATTTAATTTGGAATTTGAAATTATATTAAATAAGACTATAATATTTTATGACAAGAGGATGTGTTTTCTTTAACAACTTTATTGAGATATAATTCATATATTATACAATTTGCTACGGCACATAGATTTTTAAAAGGTTATACATACCTAGTCTGTGAGCCCCTCAAAGAATAAACCCCTCAAAGAATGCTTACATGTATGAACCCCTCTACCTCCCCAAAATATGCTAACATTCAAAATTTACCTAACTTCAGTAAATCTGTGCAACAGATCCAGAATCCAGATTAGAATTTCCTGCCATACACAGATTGTTGTAAATCAAGTAATATCTTACTTAATCACTTTAGTTAAGATAATTAAGTAAAGCCCTGGCCGGTATGGCTCAGTGGATAGAGCGTCGGCCCTCGGACTGAAGAGTCCTGGATTCAATTCCAGTCAAGGGCACATGCCCGGGTTGCGGGCTCGATCCCCAGTTGGGGGAGTGCAGGAGGCCACTGATCAATGATGCTATCTTATCATTGATGTTTCTATCTCTCTTTCCCTCTCTCTTCCTCTCTGAAATCAATAAAAATATATTTAAAAAAAAGATAATCAAGTAAAAAAGCAAATACCAAAACATTATCAACTTTATTTCTTACAAACAAAAAGCTTAATGTTCTGTCATTGGGCTGCTGACCCCTACTCCCACTCCAATGTGCACGTGTGCATGTACATATACCATACATGCACACATACACAAGCAATTTCCAAGATTGAAGTCTGTGTTTAACTGGTATGGGGTTGACCTACCACCTGGGAAAAACATCCTAGGATGACCAGAGTGGTTAGCCTTTAAGTTCTGTGCTTGCCTTTCAACACTCACTGCTGTCCCCTTCACCCTTCAGAGCCCAGTGCCAGTGTTTCTAGAATAACAAGAATTTGATGAAAACTGGACTGACTCAAAACCCACAAGCACTGACTCCAACTCCTCCAATCCAGATACAATGGATTACAACCAGGAGACTGCCTCCTCCCAAAGCAGCCAAAATATTGCCCAGAATTGTCAGCAAACTTTAAATCTGAAGTGACTGAAACTCTCCTTAGGCTCATCCCCTCCCCTTCTCCTTAAACTCCACAGGATTGTCACAAACCAGAGTCTGATCTTCATTCCTCCCTCAATACTTATCATAATCCCCAAGCTCTAAGGCCAAAATACCTAGACACTTGAGTACAGAATGAATGAAATACTTACCACCCGAAGCAGAATTATTAGACTAAGACTTTCAATAGAAAATATATACTTCGAGAAGAGGGAAGATAGTAGCAGTATGAGACAAGACCAAGATATCTGAAACAGGATTATTATGATAAATGCAGTAACTAAAATGACCAACAAATAGGATAAACAAGACAGGTTCAACTGAAGAAAGTCTGAGGTTGAAAAGCTCTCCAGATAGGAGAGAGAGAAAAGCTCTGAGATATGAATGACAACTTTAGCAATAGTTAAAAAACAAAGGGAGGTGAATATCTAAAAAAAGAGAGAATTTCTCAAAGTTAAAAAGCAATATGAAAATCTTTACCCTAACCCCAGACATGTTATTGAGATTTAGGAATATCAAAGACAAAAGAAAATTGTAAGAGTTTAATAAAGAAAGCAAATAACCTACAAAAGAAATCACACTGACATAAGGCTTCAAAAGAAAATACTGTATATATACAAGAATAAAGTGAAATTTTAAGGTAATTGAGAACTTTAAAAATAATTTGTAAGTTTTAAAAAAATCCACAAGAGGCTATAGATAAGGTAAGGGTGGTCAAATACCTTGAGAAATTTTACTGTTGCCTTAAAGGAAAGAAATAGAGGTCTAGAAGTTATTTATAAGCAATATAGATATTGGTGAATTTAAAAAATCAATAGGAATAAATAAAATTAGGTATTGGGTTATGAGCCACTCTCCTATAAGAACAAAAAAAAGAATGCACTTAACTTTGAAACCAGAAGTCAACTTGTTCTATTCAATGAAAAACAGAAGACAAACCAAACAATAAATCTAAAAATAAGGAAAATATGGTAGCAATTGAGTCTAAAAATATTACCACTTTTAAGAAATGTAAAGAGTTGAATTTACTAATAAGAAGCAAATATTCACATTAGAGTAAGATACAAGGATGGAAAAAAGACATGCCAGGTAAATAAAACCCAAAGGAAAGCTATTTTAATCTCAGACAAACAGAATTACAACACAATCTACAACTGATGGATTTACAGTGAGAACAGAAAAATTAAGATTTTTAACACATCCTTCTCAGACATCGTTAGATCAAACAGACAATAATGAGAAGTAAGAAGAACCCAAACAACACAATGAGTAAGCTTGGGCTATTAATTTACGCATATAGATCTTCATATTTAACATTCACAGAACATTTACAAAAACAGAATATTAAGGTCAAAGAGAGAAATTAATCTCTTTAAAAAATTAAATGAACTAAGCATTCAATTAAAAAATTGTAAACAGAAATTAGAAAATTAGAAATAAGAAGGAAATAATAACATTAAAGCCACAGAAAGAGCAGCAATTAACAAATATACATATGGAAATAAAAAATCAAAAGTTGGTTCTAAAAACCAAATAAGAGGCAACTAGCAAAACTGAAGATGCAAATTACAAAGGGAAAATAATCACAGATTTAAAAAAATATCATGAATTATATACTAATCAATTTTAAATTTGGTAAAATGCATCCACTTTTTAGAAGAATATAAACTTTGAAGTTGGCATGAGAACTTGAAGAGATCAATTAGATTTAAAAAATAAGAAAAAATTCCCCAGAACCTCTACTTCCCAAATCCCAAAGATCCAAGTCAATTTTTTAAGAGTTTTACCCACAATTTAAGAAACAGTTAATTTCTATCTTATACAAGTCACTACAGGAAACAGAAAAAAAAGTAAAAGTAGTCATGTTCATTTCATTAGGCTCTAAAACCAAGGGATAGAATTACCACCCTTGGAAGTTTTTTTATTGTACATACATACATGCATATATTCATTTCACTAATGAATAAGGATCCTGAATAAAAGTATTAACTACCTAACTCAATGATGTAACAATACATCATGATTAAGCTTATTCCAGGAATGCGAGGTTAGTTTGATATTCAAACTATGTATTTCAAAAAATATATTTAATATGTACTTAACGATTCAAATAAAAAGTCAAAAGACCATCTAAACTTATAGAAAAAAATGGTCATAAAAATCATAGACACAAATGTAAATGGAGATTTTATATTCATTCCTGGTTAAGGTTAGAAATAAGACAAAGATGCCCATTTTTAACACTGATGCTCACCATAATATTGGCCAGTGTTATACAAAAGAAAAACAAACATGTGGTATAGTGTAACGTGGAAGATTACAGGTAAAACTGCCAGTATTTGCAGGTAAGATCTTTTACCCACGGGAGAAAATATAGAATAAATTACTATAGTAAGTGTACCAAGATTTCCAATATAAAATCAACTTAAAAAAAACCAAGAGCCCTCCTTCTCTACATCAAGAACAGCCAGTCATAAAATACATTAGAAAATTAAGATACTATTCACAACAGCAACATAACTAAGGTATATAGGAATTAACCAAGAACAAACTATATAGAAAAGCTGTAATAAAGACACAGAGTCTGATCTGAATAGATATAAGGATACGGATGAAACAATTTAATATGAAAAATGGCATAACTCCCTACCATGCTAATATACTTATTTATTCAATGCAATAGCTATCAAAAATTTTAGTTTGGGCCTGGTTTATCTCAGTAGATAGAACATCAGCCTGCAGACTGAAGGGTCTCAGGTTTATTTTAGTTTGGGCCTGGTTTGTCTCAGTGGATAGAATATCAGCCTGCAGACTGAAGGGTCTCAGGTTTATTTTGGTCAAGGGCATGTACCTCGGTTGCAGGCTCGATCCCTGGCCATGGTCAGGAGCAAGTGGGAGGCAGCCAATCAATGTGTCCTTCTCATATCAATGTTTCTCTATCTCTCCCTCTCCCCCTCCTTCCTCTCTAAAAATTAATGGAAAAATATCCTTAGGTGAGGATTAACAAAGCAAAACAAAATTTTAGTTCAGTTTGTTTTTTGAAAGAACCCTGATAAACTTACTATCAATCATATATGTACAATAAAGGTGTACAGATAGGTCAAACCATGATGGGAATGGGAGTAGGGAGCTTGTGTGAGGTGAGGGGTGGCAGAAGAAAGCAACTCATCCTGCCAGATATTAAAACATACTATAAAGCCATGGTAATTAAGTGTGACAATGACAAAACAAGAGGGAAAAAAAGATCAATGAAACAGCAGAATCCTGCTCAAAGACAAACACATGTGTTTATAAAAAAGTGATATGCAATAAATGTGCTAGCACACTAAAAAAGAAAAAAAAAGTGAATGCCTATTCACATTAAATACAAAGATGTACTCTAGAGGAATTGAAGACCTAACAGTAAAACTAGTCAATAGGAAATAGAGAAGAAACTAGAAAAGACTTAACTTCAAAATAACAAATCATAGGTAAAAACTGAATAAACATAAAAGTAATAATTTTTGTTCATTAGAGGGTGTTATGTGTAAAGTAAGTAAAAATGACTGGTAAGGGATTAATATCTAGAATACATATGAAACCCTGCAAAACAAGGAAAAGACAGTAAGCCCAAATAGGAAAAAGAATACAAATGAGCAACCTAAAAGCCTCACAATTATGAGAAAAACTCATCAGAAATCAGGAAATCTAAATAAAATAAGCCTGTACCTCTTCAATTGAAAAGTAAAAAAACTATAAAGCTGAATGATGCCAACTGTTGGAAAGGACACAAAGATAAAGCAACCTTCATTGTTGCTTCATTGGATACAGTCATCCTAGAAAGCAAGCTGGAAGTACCTAAGGCTTGCAAAGCCCAGAACTAGCAATCCCACTGATAAGTACGGATCACAAAAAAATTCTTACATCGTTCCTTAAGAGGAAATGTACAATGACCATTACAATGGACTTTGTGTTGATGAAGCTTGGAGTCAATCTAGTTATCCATCAAAGAAAACGCATGTAATAAAAAACATGGTGGACAAACATCAAGGAGAGCTGGGAACCATTTAGAGGCTAGAAGCTACTACAGATACATATGGATGGATCTTAAAATCATAAAGCCATATAAAAAACTGCAAGCAGAATAGAATATTTGGGCTATTACTAATGATTTATATTGCCAACAAATTAAATAAGAAATCTGTTATTTCTTCTAATTCTGTGCATTTCTAATAAAACCTCTAAACAAATCTCAGAAATGATTAAGATCAGTATACTTCCTGTGGAGATGAAATTAAACTTTAAAAAGACCAACTCTAAATTGGTGGTACTTAGCAAAACCTAGATATTAACAAACATGAGCTTTCCACTATTATGTACATAAGTCCCAGATGGCCTTAAAAATAGATACACCTGCAATGTTGATTACAGAAAGAGAAATAAGAACTATGAAAAAGAACTTGTACCTTTCAATGTATCCTGTTGGTGTTTCTACCAGACCATCAAGTCTTTCTTGGAGGGCTGCAAGAATCTGAGGATTTTGCATCATCTGAACAGTCAGCTGACGCGCTTAAAAAAAAGGGGGAGGGGGCATTGAAAGAAGGATTTTATGAAAACGTATTATGCTATTTTAATAGGACAATCCAATCATGAGGTTTCCTGACTAGCTGGTATGAGTAGAGATGAGCAGCAAGCTAAAGAAAATTCACTCTAGGAAAACCTAATATTCAGATTACTAATGATCTCTAGTATGTGCCATGTCTCAGGACCATTTACACAACTTCTATCAACAGTATTCCTTCTCTAATTACTATCTTGTGTTTCAGCCATCTTGCATTTTGGGATGCTCAAAGCTTCATCCAGATGCCTATCTATGACTCGATAATTCTTTGAAGGCAGACAACACATTATCAGAAAACTGCAAATACAGTAACAGTTTGGAGCCTGGGAAAAAGTACAATGAATAACCTAAATAGTTTACTTGATGTTTGTTTGTATAACGTGCCTGCATATGTCTTAATAGAGAAAGTTAATAGTTAAGTCAAAGGTTGTAACTAAAACCAAACAAAATTTGGTTATCAGCATGTCTCGAAATTATACTTAACCCAAATGTAGCTAGATATATGCAAAAATTAGTTTGCTGTCTTCTTCAACAGACACTACCCAAAATTTCCATTTAATTTTTCAAATTATGTTTTCAAATGACTGCTAGTTCTAATTTGATTAGATGTATAGTTGTGATAACCTATATCTTTAGAATATCAATACTGGCCACTAAGGACACATGGTCTGTTATCTTTTAAGAAAATGTTGATGACTAAAACTAAGTTCACTAGTCTTAACAATTAACCTCATTCTGGCTTAAAAATGATAAGTTGATTCATCTGTTACCTTAATATTCTTGGCTCCTATCTATAGGACAAAACTTGAAGAAGTATAATTCCACACTACCATCGTTAATTTTAATGTCTCTTTTTTGGTTGGATTAAAAAGGGCATGCACACACACTATATACTGTCTACATATTAAATACGAAACATTTTCAAGTAAATTTAAACTAATGGTATTTGTTTAGAAGCACCACCAAAAACAACTCCCACCATCTCTAACATTTCTAAATTCAGACAAAACTCATGGGTAGCTAAGCTGTTTGACCCAACTATGCCATGTCACTCTAGCAGTGGAGGGTACACACACAGTGACTTCTGAGGGGTCACTATACTCACACCTTCCTCCCTTACCATCATTTCATCCCCATCTTCCTCTAGCCCTCCTTTCTTTCTTCCCTCCCCCAACATCAAACACACACACACAACTGTTACTAAACTGAGGTACGGGCTGGTGGATAAGGATCAAAAAGAGAACTACCTTCTAGAACAGCAGTCGCCAACCGGTGGTCCGCGAGGTCCGAAAGGTTGGCGACCACTGCTCTAGAAGACATGTGCCAGTAATCACTAGAGCCTGAAAAAATGTAAAATAATACCTTTGATTTTTGTTTCTTCACCAGTTTCTTCTTCTTCTATTTCTTCAACATCATCCAAATCTTGATCAAGTTCAGACTGTTCTTTGCTATAATATCATAGTATCACACCAAGGTTCAAATGTACCAAATTACCAAAAATATAAAATATGTAGAAAAACTTCAATTCATTTCCTAGGTTAATATGCCTCTTTCAAAAATATGAAATAGAAAATCTAAAAGGGAATTCTGTTTTCTTTCTAACTTCATATGTAAACAACTACAAATATTTTTAAATTTCATTTAAAAGCATGTGGTCAAATATAAAGTTTGTACTTCAACCTTTAAAAATATGGTTTAACAGGTTTTGGTTCAGAGAATATGATGTCAGGAAGTACATTTCCTACCCAATATTTATTGATTTTTCTTAGTAACAGCACCCTAATTTTATATGAGATGACAATTCACAAAGCTAGAAAAATCTACATTTCCCAGCCTACCTTTTAGCTAGCTTGTGGCTACATAACTAGATTTTTAGCAGTGAGAGAAAATGAAGTAATATAGAACTTTGAGAAACCTTCCTTTATAGGATGGTAAACAGCTAACAGCCCCACCCCCTTTTTTTTTACATTTCTTCCTCCCTAGAATATGGATGTGATGGCTAGAGCCTGGGCAGCCACACTGGACCATGAATGAGGCAACCTAGAGAATGGAAGTCAGCAGCTAAGGATGAAGGAGTTTTGAAAAATAGAAGAATTCTGGATCCCTGATGGCTGTGGAATAACCATAGCAGTCTGTACTCATTATCTTTGTGGACTTTCATCCTTTTTCTTTACTTCACAGTGAAGATGGGGAAAAACAGTAAAAATTTAAAAAGCCTGAGACTACTTTATGCTTAGAGCAAAGCCAGGAGGATGGCAGCATTGGAAGAGAAGGTAAAAAATAATAAAATAACATTCTTCCCATTTCATCTTAAAAGTCTAGTTTCTGAAGATGAGATTATAATTAGCATTAAAAAGGGAAATAATATCTAAATCAATATATAGAGATTTTACATTTTACTATTTATTTGGTTTAGTGATTTAGTTGCTTTACATGTTTAGAAAAGCATTTGAAAATTTTTCATATATGGACAAATACTGTCTAATTTTCATATGGGGACAAGTACAGAAAAAGTCAACTGTATTCTGCTGGCAAAATTTATATTCCCTTTAATTAAGGGACAAAAAAAAAATCAGCCTTCTCATCAAAAACAAAAATTATCATTTCTGGAATATCTCTGACGTATAAACTTGCTCTTCCTTCAGTGTCATTTCATACAACCATTCACTAAACATCTAAATCTTAAAGGTAAAACAGGGGTCCACAAACTATATGACATGGCCAAATCCAGCCCACTCCTATTTTTGTAAGTAAAGTTTTATTGGAATACAGCCAGTTAATTCATTTATGTATTGTCTTTGGCTGCTTTCACACTGTAACATCAGAGCTGAGTAGTTACAAAAGATCACATGGCCCAGAATGCCTAAAATATTTAACATCGGGTCCTTTACAGAGAGTTTGCTAACTTTTGCTTTAAATAACTCCCCTCTTCCCTTCCTTCTCCAAAGGCTTGCAGGCATCCAAAATTAAATAATAAAAGAGGTAATTAACTTTTCTTTTTTCCTCAAAATTTAAAAAATGAAAGTGCCTGAAGGGTGTGGGTTCAGTAGTTGAGCATCGACCTATGAACTAGGTCACAGTTCAATTACAGATCAGGGCACATGCCCGGGTTGTGGGTTCAATTCCCAGTAGTGGGCATGCAGGAGGCAGCCAATGATTCTTGCTCATCACTGATTGTTTCTCTCTCTCTCTCCTTCTCCCGTCCTCTCTGAAATCAATAAAAGTATGTCTTAAAAAAATACAGTTAAGATGGCAAATTGCACATACTCATCTTATCTCAATCCTTCCAGGATCCCCACTAAAATTATGATAAAGGGTTTTTAAACAGACACACTCTGAAGGACAGACAAGGAGACTCAGGAGCAACAACTTCACTGAGGACCAAAATCTAAGCAGAGGGAAAGCTGAGAACCAGCTCAAACACAGAATCTGAAAAAGAACACTTAATCTGGATAAAACAGGAAGAACAGAGCAAAACCTGAAAAGCAGTTAAATTCTCAGGTCCTCTCCCTCACTACAGCAGATGACAGTTTCTTCTCTGGAAAGGGTTAAACTGAGAAGCTGGATGAAAGGATCACAGACAGTTACGAGTATCAAACATATGACATATGCACACTAGAATAGTGAATATAGAGACCCCTTCCTAGCAGTCATCTCCCAATTTGACTCCCAGAACACCCATCCTTCACTGAGGTGTATCTGACCAGCCCAGAAAAAAAAAAAAAAAAATACCATTCTGTCACTGGGGATTCTCATAACAAATGCCCACATTGAAGACCTTCCGTTAAAATCCCAAATGAATAAGCTTCCCCTTCCCCAACACTCAAATGTTCTAGTCAACTTTTTTAAAAAAAGTTCTTCAACTGCCTGTCCCACCCCACCCCAACCTTAATGATTACCTTCTTTTTTGAGGAAAGCCTCTTACATTGAGACCAAAACAGAGGAAAGAAAAATGTAAGAGCAAATATGACTACACAGGGAAGGAAGCATCCAGAGAAAATATATTACAATCCATAAAACAAGAACAAGATGCTATAAAAACAGGAACAGAGAACAAAGGAGCTCATAAAAACTAAAAAACAGAAATTTAGAAACTCAATACAAGAGTTGAAAGATAAAGTTTCTTTAGCTTTCCTTAGAAAGAGCAATGAGACAAAGATGGAAAATAGTACAAAAGGTTATTAGAAGAATCAGTCCAACACACAACATAATAGGAGATCCAGAAAGAGAAAAGAGAATAAAAATAAGAATATTCCCCGCTACTGAAGGTCCACCAGTGAATGCACAACACAAGAGATAAAAAAAAGTTCCAATAATATAAAATTTCAGAATTCTGAAACCAGAGTAGCTTCGAGAATAAAGATACATTGTGTAGCGTTTTTTTTAAGTGCCACATATAAATGATAAAGAATTATGACTTTGAATTTCAAAACAGCAAGACTAAAAGCCAGGTGACAATGGAGCAGCAATGCCTTCAAAATTCTTAAGAAAACGATTTCTAAGTTAGAATTCTACACACAAACTATCATGCATAAGAGCAGAAATGTCATTTTCATTCATGCCATCTAAAATAATTTACTTCCCTTGTACTCTTCCAAGATACTAAAGAACCAACAAAGAAAACAGGGGATATCACAAACAGCAAACCCAAGAGAGGAGAAACAAAAAGAAACCTCAGTAAGATAGAAATAGATGCACAATTTCTTAGCTGATCTAAGAAATCCAGATTGGAGGAATGTGATTGAGGCAACAATACTTTGAAAGCCATGATCACTAAAATGCCTGTTGCCCATCTTCTTTTTATGCTGAAGACAGCATGCCTGGGAAAATTAGTCAGACTCTTACATGTATAGTACGTCAATGTGTTACCCTTGTGATAAAATTTTCCTGCCTTTCCATCTCCATGCTGTTGCCTGTAATAGCTGTAGATAATATCATGCCACCCTACCCCAAGTATTGTTTTAACCTGTTCTCTAAGTTGGCAGGCTACTGTAAAATTACAAGCAGCATATACTGCAGCACATCCCATTTTTCCTGACCATATTTCTGCAAGATACCCATACACACTATATTATTAACCCTGTTTGTAGGATGCATGACCTTGTCCAATGACTTCTCCAAAATAAGCCTTTGAAAAGTTAAAAAAGCCTCAATAAAGTTAAAGCCAGACTACGACCCAGATAGCCTTTTATTTTCCTATCTTGAAGTTTCTTTATATATCTAAGTGTGTGACCACTATTCAGATTTTCAGAATTAAACATTAAGAATTTATAGGTGGTAAATTTCTAAAGAAAAACAACAAAGAAACAAATTAGACAAAAGCCAAGATAGAATTGAGAAGGGACACACATTCTAACAATAGTAATGTTCTATTTTTAAAAGCTTGCACACAGTGCCCTATTATTCTTTAAACTCTACATAGACATTTTATAACACTTTCTATCTTGCATGTATGATACATTACAATGTTCGGCATAAAAATCTTTGGGAAATACATATAGGGTAAAGTGGATTCTGCAAGTATTTATGATTCATTATTGTGCTCAGCACTTTCCTAAGAATAAACACTGACAAATGGTTTGCTGTATTTATGACAATGATTATATATACAACATTTTGTCTTGGATACATGGTATGCAACTTTTATAAAGAGTAGGCACTAAACAGTCATTACCATATTATTTCCTACTACATAACTAGTACTGCTGTTAACTATACATCACAATACAAATATCTGAAAAAGAAACAAACTATCTGCCACTTACTTGTCAATGTCTGCCATGTTGTTAAGAACTCCAAATATCTGTGGAGAGAAACAACAATGTTAAAAAAAAAAAGCATACAACTTATTTAAAACCAAAACCCTTTACATCAATACCACATTGAAAACTATTCCAAAAGAAATGTATACTCCCATTAAAAAAGCATCAGTTAAGCCCTAGCTGGTTTGGCTCAGTGGATAGAGCATTGGCCTGTGGACTGAAGGGTCCCAGGTTAGATTCCGGTCAAGGGCACATGCCCAGGTTGTGGGCTTGATCCCCAGTAGGGGGCGTGAAGGAGGCAGTTGATCTCATCATTTATGTTTCTATCTCTTCCTCTCCCTTCCTCTCTGAAATCAATAAAAATATATTTTTAGAAAAATCATGGAACAGAGACTTTCATGTAGCCCAAGTAACTTTTCAGAGGATACAGCTTAAAATAAGCAAGTTACTAGTAGGCATTTAGAATCTATCATGTAAGGACTTTTATAATGGCACTACTGCTAAAGAGTCTATGTTAGAATCACAGAAAAGAAACAATACAAAGGATCTTTATTCAAATTCCTGTGACAACTAGGAATGGTCAATTCTTGCATAAATTTTTAGGCTACTTAGTACCTCACTGAACAAACCCCCTTTATTTTTAACAGCATTAATTTTTATCAAATTCATGTTTAAAAGCCAAAATTTGCCACCTACTATACTCACTATGATCCCTCCAAAATCTTTTTTTAAAAAGTTTAATAATCCTTCTATCAAATGCCAGCCTTTTAAATTATGTAATGACTAGAGGCCTGCAGCCCCTTCCGGACGTCTGGTCTATTTAGCATATTACGCTTTTATTATTACAGACCAGAGGCCCGATGCACGAAATTCATGCAAGGGGCTCGGCCCTTGCAGCCCCTTGCAGCCTTGGCTTCGTCTAGAAGGTTGTTCTGCTGTTCATCTAATTAGCATATTAGCTCTTTATTATATAGGATAGTTTAAAGGTCTGGGTCCCGCCCTGACCAGTTTGGCTCAGTGGCCAGAGCTTCGGCCTGTGGACTGAAGAGTCCCAGGTTCGATTCCGGTCAAGGGCATGTACCTTGGTTGCGGGCACATCCCCAGTAGGGGGTACACGCAGGAGGCAGCTGATCGATGTTACTCTCTCATCGATGTTTCTAACTATCCTTCTCCCTTCCTCTCTGTAAAAAAATCAATAAAATATATTTTACAAAAATAAAAAACAAAGGTCCGGGTCCCAATCGATGTCAGCTAAACCTTCCTGTCTCTTCAAATGTACTTCATGTCATATCGCTGATAACAACCACACCCGTTAGCCTAACCTAGATATGCTTGCTGAACACTGTCAACAATGCTCTTGGTTAGCCTGGATACTGTTAGAACTGATCAAAACACAGCCTAAGTTCTTTCTCATTTAGGATTAGTATTAACTTAAGCCCTAGCCTGTTTGGCTCAATGGATAGAGCATCAGCCAATTGATGCCAACCATCAATTGGTTGCCTCCTACACACACACCCCAACCGGGGCTGGGGAGGAGCCTGCAACCAAGGTACCTGCCCTTGACCAAAATTGAACTTGGGACCCTTTGGTCTGCAGGCTGATGCTCTACCCAATGAGTCAAACTGGCTAGGTAATAGTGTGTGACCACTATTAGAAACACTATTTCTGTTTTTTAAAGTAGGCTTAATTTTGAAGTCAGGTCACGTGGGTTGACATCAACTTTGTAGCAATCTCACTTAGGAAAAAAACTTCTGGCCTCATTTAATCATCTATAAAATTAGATAAAAAATCGTTTCCTCATTGGATTTATCTTATTAAGAAGCAAATTCATGTAAAAGACTTAAATAATTTGCTGGAACGACAGTTAAAAAACAGATTCTTTTCGTTCTGACAAATGTATAGAATGACTAATAAATATACCACTGTAATGTAAGATGTTAACATTAGGGGAAACTGGTTAAGGGGTATATAGGAATTCTCTGAACTATCTCTACAACTCCTCCGTAAATCTAAAATTACAAATAGTTTATTATTTTTAATATTTTATTTTATTGATTTCGGAGAGGAAAGAGAGAGATAGAAACATCAATGATGAGAGAGAATCACTGATCGGCTGCCTCCTGCATGCCCCTTACTGGGGATCAAGCCCGCAAACCAGGCATGTGCCCTTGACCGGAATCAAACACGGGACCCTTCAGTCTGCAGGCCAATGCTCTATCCACTGAACCAAACCAGCTAGGACAGCGGTTCTCAACCTGTGGGTCACGACCCCTTTGGCGATCGAACGACCCTTTCACAGGAGTCGCCTAAGACCATCCTGCATATCAGATGTGTATACATTACAATTCATAACAGTAGCAACATTACAGTTATGAAGTAGCAACGAAAATAATTTTATGGTTGGGTCACAACATGAGGAACTGTATTTAAAGGGTCAGAAGGTTGAGAACTACTGAGCTAGGGCAATAGTTTATTTAAAAAAAAAGAGAGATTCAGAGATTCTGAATCATCAAGTCTGATGAAGCAGACCCAAAAATCCACATTCTATCTAAACAAGAAACATAGCTTCTGAAGTAGGCTATCTTAAGATTTAAAGTGTCAGATCACACTGAGAAACACAAGTTTAGGTTAACACCTACATTAATTATTTTACTGCAGCCAATAATTAAAGTCAATGAGAATTTCATTAATCCTACATGACAATGCTTTCTAAGAAAACTGAAGAATTTCCATTCCTGGTAGCGAGCAGTTAGATCATGAAGATCAATTCTACCAATGAAAAACAGTATTTGTCGCCCTGGCTGGTTTGGTTCAGTGGACAGAGCACCAGCCTGGGGACTGAAGGGTCCCAGGTTGATTCTGGTCAAAGGCACATGCCTGGGTTTCGGGCTTGACCAGGCTTGATCCCCAGTAGGGGGGTGTGCAGGAGGCAGCCGATCAATGATTCTCATTATTTTTTTAATATATTTTATTGATTTTTTACAAAGAGGAAGGGAGAGGGATAGAGAGTTTGAAACATCGATGAGAGAAACATCGATCAGCTGCCTCCTGCACACCTCCCACTGGGGATGTGCCCGCAACCAAGGTACATGCCCTTGACCAGAATCGAACCCAGGTCCCCTCAGTCCGCAGGCCAACGCTCTATCCACCGAACCAAACCGGTTAAGGCGATTCTCATTATTGATTTTTCAATCTCTCTCTCTCCCTCTCCCTTCCTCTCTGAAATCAATATCAAAAAGGATATCCAAATGTTTCTTAATAAGTATTTAAACTAAAGGGGCCCATTAAAAATTGTGAATGAAACACAATCCTAACCAAAATTTTTATTGTTTAAAGATTACAAATAGTAGTACATGTCTCCTTTTTTCCCCCATTGACCTTCCCCTGGCCTCCCCTACTTCCCTCCCTCCGCACATGCCCTCACTCCACCCCCTCCTCCAGTGTCTTGTGTCCATTGGTTATGCTTATATGCATGCATACAAGTCCTTCGGTTGACCTCTTACCCCACCCCAACAATATTTTTTTAAAAAAAAGAAAAAGAAAAACAGTTATTTGTTAAAACCCTAAAAGCAAAAAAAAAAAAATACGAGTAAGATAGTAAAGAATTCCTAACCCCAAACAAAAGGCAAAAGAGGAAGCAAAAAGATAAGTAGAAGGAAGTCCCTTTTGGCATGAGGGCAAGTGCCGACCACAAATTTAAGCTATTGTAGGGTGAAATCAAAAGCTCTGGACCTTTTCAAGTTGAGGAGTCTTTATGACAACCCTCCTCAATTAAGCAGTAACCCCAAAGTGCTAAATTCTCAGGGATAATAAACCAGTTATCCTGGATAAAAGCCCAAATTCATCTCATCAGTGTTGCCCTCAACACCCCAAACTAGGAGCTTGAAGTGGTCTTCGACAGCATGTCCAAATATAAGCGAAAGGCACTTTCATCCTAGACCTGAAATAATTCATTAAAGTAATTTTCAAGAGCAATAGGGGCAACAGAAAAGAACACAATAGAAACCAGTCTATAAAGATTTAAATATTATCAAAAAGGCTACAAATGTATAACTATAAACATAGACAAAAACAACCATGTTAACTGTGTTTGAAAATACAATGCCTGCATCCGTTATCTATAAGGATCAGTCATCTATTAAAGGTGATATAGCTACTTTGGCAAAGAAATAAATAGAACTTCTGGAAAAAAAATAGGTAGGATTAACAGCAGACTAAACACAGCTAGGAAGAGAATTAAGTTAGCTAGAAGCAAGCTTAGAAGAAATCTTCCAAAATATGGTGGAAACTAAAGGATGGGAAACACTATAGTTCAAAGGCATTTTGGGATACAATAAAGTCTAACACAAATTAGATCTAAGATTGAACACAAATTCTAGGAATAGAGGAGAGAATGGGCAGGATATTTGAAGAAATTAAGAGCAAAAATTTTCCTACAACTAATGACTGATAGTCCTACAAATCCCAATCAGGATAATTAAGACAGTTCTTTTTTCTCTTCAGTAATACCAAAAGACAACAGAATGTGCTGTTATGCTTAACATGCTGAAAATAACAAAGGATTTTAAATATATTTTTTAATTGATTTCAGAGAGAGAGCAGAAGAGATAGAACCATCAATGATGAGAATCATTGATCAACTGCCTCCTCCATGCCCCCTACTGGGGATCAAGCCTGCAACCTGGGTATGTGCTCTGATGTGCTCCAACCAGTAACCTCTTGATTCACGGGTCAATGCTCAACCAGTGAGCCTCGCTAGCCAGACAAGGATTTTTAGAATATTATGCCTAACCAAAACATCCTTTAAGTATGAAGATAAACTTTTAGGCAAAAATTTCTCCAGTAGGGGGTGTGCAGGAGACAGCCAATCAGCGATTCTCTCTCATCATTGATGTTTCTATCTGTCTCTTCCTCTCCCTTCCTCTGAAATCAATAAAAGAAACCTCCCTGCTGAAAACAATCCTGTTTACTTTTTGTTAATAGCAACTTTTAGGCAAAAATTTCTCCAGCACTAATAAATTCTATACGAACCTTCTTCAAG